CAAGACGTCATTAAATGATTGTATTTAATATAATGTTGTATTATTTCTAGGAAATGAGTAATATTAAATGATGATTATACAATAATCATAATAAAATGATTTGATGATGACATTTTAAAAAAAAAAAGAAAAATATTAAAAACACTAAAAAAACATTTAAAAAGGAAACGATTGCATAAGGCTGTCTACCTTTCCTTCGTTATTTCTTATCTTTCATCCTTATCCAGTTTTTCTCCGCCTGCTTATCAGGAGATGCCCTTACTGGTTCTTATGTTCTGAGTTAGTATTCGATAAATGAAGTCCTTCAAAACCTTAATTTTTCTTGATGATGTTATTTCAGGAAAAACATTGGTGAAGCATTTCTGAAACAGAGGAACTCGGATGAAAAATTAGCAGTATCAAAGATTATCAAGCGAAATTCTTCCAAGAACCTACTTCAGTCAGTTAGGGTAAACTGCAACAGACGTATTTTAAATTTTAAAAGTATAGGCAACGAGAATTTGGCGGTGGAAAACCATGAATTATTAAAGGTTTGATTCTGCAAGTTTAAATCCGTTTACATTTAGATTGCTGATTCAGCTAAACCATCCCTAGAAGGTTCTGCTGATAAAGTCATAGATCGCATTCACCGTCGCCATACCGCACCTGTAAAGGCCAGTACGCTTTTGAAGCGAAATCAGCCAAACAGCGTTACTACGGGTTTGAAAACTCCATATTCTCGCATACAAGGTTTTTATTTTTATTTTTTCTTCCAGTAATTCCTTGTTTCAACCATTCCCTATACTACTATCATATTTTAAGCTCCATACGTAATATGTTTTTCTCGTAAAATTTGGTTACAAACAATTTTAATATTCATGAATTTCAGGAAGGTATTCAACAACGTTCACTTTAAGGTTGAGTGAAATGGATAAAGGTTCGGGACTAGGTAATTTTCCCATTCAGTTATATAATCAATGCAAATTCATGATGTTTATCGGCATTTCATTATCTTAAGCTGAATTATTTCAGTCCTGGAAAAAAAAAAAGCGTCACAGTGAAAGTTTTAGCGGTGATTCAAGTGACAAAGTTTCTGTTAGCGATAGTGAGGATAAAACCACGCGAAGAATCCAAGCTTCCAGTGCAGAAGCACTTTTAGAACAGGTGTTTCATGTTGTGTTGTTATCAATCCTGATGAGAAGTCGCACTTAAATTTGCTCTTTCTCTTTCTTGGATGTTTGTTTTAATAAATGAATTAATTTTAGAAATGTATGGAGTCACGACAGCGACGAGCTAAGAGACAAAAACGGCGGAAGGAACCAAATGGCTCTATACAGACAATACCAGTGCAATGTACTATTGAATCGACTCCAATGAATTCACTTCTGGATGATGTAACAAATGAAATAAATCGTTTAGAAAGAGATCGTGAAGTTGCACAGAAGTTATCCAAAGATGACAGAAATACACTGTTGTTTCTGGACACTACTGGGAATTCAATTTTTACCAAAGGTTGCTTTTTGTATTCTTCAGAAAAAAATTTTTCAGAAATTTATATTTTTGAATAATTTCCATAAACTTCCACAAAGGATTAGTTTACATTCGTGTCTCCTGTTAAATAGCAAGGATCTTTGATGGGCAACGCTTTTAATTTGTACAAGAACAATCAAAACTGCAAAAATGCGATATCCAGCTTTACTTTTCTGTCCAATTCGGTCGTCCTTTTTTTTCTGGTAAACATTTTTATTTGCATAACAATGGTAGAAGACGAAAATAGTTCTTTACAGAAGATATACCTCCACCACCTCTTCCACCAGTCCTTCCGTCAACGAATAACTCATCCCTAGCTGCAGTTCCTTCTGTAGTTAGAGAAAGTTGTGCAGAGTTGTCATCTTCATCAGATATTCCGAAACATTCATTTTACTCACCATCAATCAACACCAACATCCATTCAGCTACTTTACTTCTCAATTCACCGTCCTCTACCGTCACAGCGACTCGCAACAATACATTGCATATGGAACCACTGAAGCGCATATCAAAGCAACGATATATCGGTTCAGTTCATGGTGGTGAGGATGCCGGTAGAGTAAGCTTTTAATTTTCACATGTTTCTATCGTTTTTAATTTAAATTCTTGTTTAAGAAGCTTCAAAAGTATAAGATTTTTGAAATTCTAATGAGAGAAAGTATAATGATCAAGTGAAGGAATATTCTGTATATTGCTGTTTTAATTTTATATGCAACAGAGCAGGAAACATTAACTGAATTCTGGAATTTGTTCTGTTTAATTGAAAGGAGAATTAAAATGCCTATATGAAAGTAGTGCTTATATGTTTTATCCTTAGAAGTAGCAGAATCTGTAATAATAATGGGTTTCATCCTTATGCTTGTTAAATATCTCAATCTCATTGTTAGTTATTTTTGATTAT